TTAATCCCTGAAAACAGTTGTGGATTGGCAGCAATCTTAAAGTATGAGCACTTGTTAATAAACTTGCTTTACTGAGGTTTTTCTACCCTAGCAAGCCACTTGAAGATGTTTAAAAATTACGTGTGCACCCACACACATATATGTATTTACACACTTAAAATATTATCTATTAAATCGAATACTATAGCAATACAAATTAGACAAATTATCTTATTATGAAATGTTACTATTTTGGACCCTCAAGGAAAAGGTGGTATATACTGTATTTTTCACAAAGTGCTACCAGTTTCACTTAATGACATTGAAGTCAATTGCCTTTTTCTTTCAGTTCTGTAAACAATATGACACAACCTTTTTCATGTTCTAGTGCATACAAAAAAATGAATCACGCATAAGCTACATGGTTGGCCACAATGGCCCAGTTCCGAGCTTACTGGTAAAGTAACCGTATGAAAGGCTTGGGAACAGTTGCAGTACTGCTTATAGGCAGTTCTTGTAAAGAAGGATCAGTTGACACACTTAGTGACCCAGTGCCTGCTGCACACTGTAAGCCTTAAGTAAATGTGGTATGGATACGAGTATAATAGAACAGTTAGTTCCCCATGGTAAGCAGCTTACATGCTTTTTGAATTACTACCAGACAGCCCTTTTAATACAAATGATGGAAGGCTGTCACTTTAATAACAATAAAATGCTACCTTTTAAAGAGGTACTTAAACAAATTCTGATATTTTTTCAAAATTCCATGTATATGTTACAACTGCTAATGTCCACATATGTAAGACACTAAAGGAAATCGACGAATAGCACAATTTGCCTAAAATATATTTCCTTTTTCCCATTTAAATCTCCAGTTTAAAGTTATAAATAGTTTGAAGACACTACTAGGAAATAAGATTGAATTCAAAAGAGCAGATTATTTTCTTGGAAATTTACACCTGTATTTTCAATGGGAAAAAAACAGAAACTTGCATGTAGGTGTTTTATACAATGATACTCCAGAGAATACATAAGTTAAATAACATAGTTTAGTATGGGCACGATTTTTTAAATTATTTTTAAAATTTCTAAATGCATTGTTGTTTCTTATAAATATATACTCCTAAACGTAAATACTAAATATTGAGTACAATATGTAATTTTCGTTTGTTATTTATGTTTTTGCAAAAACTTACTATGTGCAAACCCTAGAAGGAATATTTTACTATCATTTTTATCAACGTTGGAGAACTAATATAAAGATGTCTGTCTACACGGCCAGGTTTCTTTGAAGGAAAAGAGTGGCAAAGAATTCATCTATTTTCAAATTAAAACGCTTGTTTTACGTTCTGGTTTTATATGTATTTATTAAATTAATGAAAGCAATGGAAAAAAGAGATAATAAAGACATTTTATTTCCTTTTTATTAACTATAATAAGCTTAGATTCGTGTATCTCTCCAAAATGTTTTTTAGATTATATCCAGTTCAGTCTGCCTGATGTTCATTCAAATGCCAATCCAAATAGCTGCACATATACCTATGCATACTATTAATAAATTTAATATTATGTTACCAATTATACGGAAAAATGTATTTAATGTTGCATATTTTAAACATATACCTGTGGAATGATCAATGTGGTCATGTGGTTAAGCTGATGAGAACAAATTAAAGATCTGAGAAAAAGATTCAATAATGCTCATTGTTTTTAGGTTTTATCTCATATTTTATCATAAGGCATATTTCCATGTGTATGAAGTATGTAATAGAAATTGCTAAGCTCAAATGAGAATAATTATGTCCATTCCAATGTCATGACACAGAAATTTCTTTTCTATAGCTATAAATACAAATTTGTCTAATAATAGAAAAAAAATTATATCCAAGTATTTAAACCCTAAAGGTACTATTCTTTTATGAGATTTTATGGTTATTTCCTGTAGATATCTATAGTTCTTAGTTATACATTTACACCATTGTACAGTTGATATTAAAATCCCTATATACCAATGGGCTCTCAGCCAATTATTCTGATTGATTGTCATTTTGATATGACTGATATAAAAGTTCAATATAAATGACAGTTATAACTACAATGCTTTAAAAAACTGGATTTTTAAATAGATTCTAAAATTAAAGACAAATTTAAATTAACATTATAATACTGACTATCATACATGTAATTCTGAATTTTAAAACAGAAGTGTTTTAACAAATGTGCCATGAAATTATTTCTACAAGAAGTGAGAGCTACCCTTTTTGAAAACGTTTTAAAATATCAGTATAACGTGCATACATGAAAGTGATGTGTTTTTCATTTACATATAAACCAACAAGCATGTGGTAGTTGCTACCTTATTACATACTTAGGTTCCACACCTCATTAAGACAAACATTTCCAAAAGAAATACCTAACCCAGAGAAAGAACTGTATCAAAATTCCTTTGTCTGAAAACAACCCGTTATTTTAGTGCTAACTCCTTAGAACAGTTTAACTACTATTTCAATCCACAAGAATATACATTAGAATGCATGTCAAACCAGAGAGCAGAAAATTTTAAAAGATATTTAGAATGACATATTATTTATGTTTTATTATAATAAAAGTTAAGGCTTTCATACTATTGTAAACACTCTACTTAAAAAAAAATTGAATTACTAATTCTAATTCAGATCCAACTCCAATTAGTGCATAATTAATTTATGGTGTGTGATGACATGTTCTTCCTCTTCTGATGATAAAAACTTCTTGTGTTACTTTTTCTCTGAAAAATAAAATTGTAAAAAAACTGAAAGAGTTTACTGACAATTTCCAGAGAAATTTATACATAGGAGCATAATAATTTGCCTTTAGTGAACACTACAATCTTTGCATTCAGCTTTTATAAGCTTGAAATTTTTCCCGAAGATTTGGGATTCATCCTGATTAAACATTGCATAGGAATTCTTTTTTTTGCCAGAAATGCAAATGGTACCTCATCTCGATAAAAATTAATGCCACATTTGTTTAATTTCACAAAGTTTGTTCAGAAATTTAACATGAAATACAAATGTCAACTACCATTTCTCCTCTCCTCAGAAGATGATGTTACTAACTTTTCAAATACATTAAAGACAGAAGCCTTCCAAAAATATTGTTAATATTACCTACAAAAGACTGACTTAGCTGCACAAAATATTTTAAGTTCTTAATTCATGAAATAATTAATGTTTTATAAAATTTGAAAATATACTGAATTCCCATTGTTTATAAAATTTTCAAACCCTTTCAAAGAAAAGAATTTGTGGTGTCCTAATTCCCATTTTAGCACACTATTTATACTTTCTTGTCCCTAGCAAATTTCTGACTATAAAATTTGAGTTATATTAATTTTAGGAAAGCATTTATTGCAGATGTCCTTCTTACAATAAGGGCTTTTACATTAATACTTTACCAAAGTATGTTCAGAAATAAAAGGTAGTATTTTGTTGCATTTTGAAAGGCCATAGTTTTCCCCAATGGTGTAATGATGCATTCCCCCCAAATGATAGAAATATTGATAAACTGTCAGTTAAAAACAACACTTTAAAAATGTGTAATTTGAACACATTTATAATGAGACTTTTTTAAAAGAGCCACTTCTTTATTTGACACAAAATGCAAGCGAGACACTTGAGTTCTCACTATATAGGCCAGGCTTTAAAAAGACTAAAAAAAAAATAAATTTTTAAGAAGTGTGATTTCTTAATAAGAGTGAATAATTTGGAAGCATCTTTAAGGTAATTCTTACTTTTTATGTTTAAAAGTAGCCGGTTGGAACACTCTACCAATTAAACGAAGATCTATAGATGGCATTTAACCTTTTGCTTTATAACAAAAAAGACCTACAATCATTTTTATGGAAGATTATCTAAGGAGGAACATTACTGTAAATCAATGACAAAAAATATTAGACACTCCCCTTCTCCAAGTTAGAATGTGCATCTTCCAGATTCTTGCACTGACACCTCATGTAATAAATACTTTAAGCTGAATCTCAAATAATAACTGCAGGGTTTCAACCGGTAAAGATTCACTGTTAGTATCCACCAAAAACTCCAGTATTCAGCACTCAGCCAACAAAGGACAGCAAATAATTCCCAGCAGCATAATACCGGGAAGGCTACCTTGGGCTTTGTTTTTGTTATGTAAAATGCATTAAAGTGACTCATCCACTTAAGATTACCTACTCTTAGAAGCCTAAAGTAGCTTCAAGAACCAAAATAAATGCTTTCCCAAAATGCCTGATAGGCTATTCAGCGCATTTAAAACTACGTATATGTGCCATTGAGTTTGGTTCTTTTTTGCAGCCTAAGAGAGGAGAGAATTATTATTTTTCATTCCCTTCCTGCCGTGTGACTAGAGCTACCTTTAAACGCTCCATTTCCAGAATAGCAGCGAGGGTTTTCTTATTCAAAAGTTATTTTAGAAATGTGAAAAATAAGAGAAAATTGCAGGAGACTCAAAACAGTCCCTCCCTCAAAGAATAGGTGCTATTCATTCTAAGAACCGGAACCGCGTGTCTGTCTGCACTTGAATGTTTCAAATGAAGGGTTAGGGAGGTTGGCTCGCGTGGCCCCAGGATCTGCGAGCCCCGTGGCTTTGCTGGGCAGCACGCTCTGGAGCGGGGAGCGAGCACGCTTCTGATCAGAACGGCCGTCCAGTGAGCCCAGCAATTCGGGATCTAAACGAGTTTGGGCACTACCGCAATTCCAGGGCATCTCAGAGGCCAAGTGCGGGAGAAGTCCAGTCTATCCTGGAAAGCCTGCAATTAACTATTTTTAAAATACCCAACCAAACCACAACTTTTTATTGAACTGGTTTTGATGTGAGCGGGTGGGTATTTGGCAGGAAACTTTCCCCCCCACCCCTCGTACAGCTAAACTCTTAAGCTAGATCGCCCGCCGCTCGTTCCCCACCCCCACGGGCAAAAAAGCCCCGCAACTCGGGAAGCCACCCCCGCTCCAGCCCCCGCGGCGCTGCCCGGCCCGCCGACTTACGTGACGGCCGAAGGGAACGGCTCCTCCGACGAGGGGCCGATCAGCAAAGATTGGAAAAGTGTCAGAGTCAAGGCCAGCAGGCAGCCAGCAGCCATCTTCGCGATCGAAGATCAATGCCCCCCTTCCTCCGCAACCGGGGGAAGCGACGGGGCCGGGAACCGCGGGCGGAGGGGGAAGAGCACAGTCCGCCGGGAGCGCGGGCGTCTGGAGGGACCCGGGGCCCGAGGCGTGGAGTCGCGCGGCGGCCGGCGAGGGCGAAGCCGGCGGC